ACATTTTTGGGGACTAAATGAATAAATAAAAAACCAAACAAATAGATAAGTATAAATAAGTGTGTGTGTACATTTCCAATTAGCCTATAATAATTATTGAGTAAACAAAAAAATTGGATTTGTTCACCTATATTCATATTGGCCTCATTGACATCTCTCTTCATAGCTAGCATACATACTATCCATATAATTTTCTTTTCTTTCTTTCTTTCTTTCTTTCTTTCTTTCTTTCTTTCTTTCTTTCTTTCTTTCTTTCTTTCTTTCTTTCTTTTCTTTCTTTCTTTCTTTCTTTTGATACAAAAATTGTTATTCATTTTAAATAAGTTTTAAGCTGTTTCAAATGGGGGGGGTGTCTTCAAAAAGAAAACCGAATTAAATTCACTTCAATGTCCACTGTTTTTTTCTTATGAAATTTATATGATGCTGGTAGGTCATATCGTAGCTCTGCTATAACATCCATCTTAATTTTCCATTCATCTGCTTCCTTTTGAATATGTTCTCTGGTTGAAGTTTTATGTAAGGAATATGCTGCTACTCTTGCCATTTGTAAAGCAAACTTCAGAAATGACATATCCATACCTTTATTATGCTTGGTTCCAAAGGGAGGATTCATGATTATAGTGTCAAAGGACTTGGACATTGTATCAGATAAAGAACACACATTGCACTGAATCATGTCAATATTTGTCAGCTCAAACTCTGCAACATTTCTACTAAATACTTCTAATGCATCTTCATCTATATCAAATCCAAAACACAACCCTGCTCCTAACATTGCTGTTCCAATACTAAGCATTCCACAGCCACATCCTAGATCTCCAACCACTTTGTTTTCAATATCATCATATGTGTTGTGAATTGTATATAGCATACATGCTGCAATGTGGGGCCTGGTCGGATACTGTTCCAGAAGTAACTTGGGCTTCTCAAAGCCATCAACTTGCTGCAAGAAACTTTCCTGTTCCTTCCGTTTCATGTTTTCTTCTCGTTAAGTGGGTTACAATTTGGTGAGCGGGGAGAGAAGGACGGGGTGTATCTATTTACACCGGAGAAAATGTTTTGAAATCCTGTGCCTGAGGACCCCAGCTCCCAGCTCAAAACCCCGAGACCCCGCGGCGATGGCACCCGTGCGCCTGCGCCTCTGAAGGCTCCTTCGGGCGGCAGCACCTTCACCTTCCTTAGGCCGCAAGCTCAGTGCAGCGAAAACCGCCACCCCCCCCCCCAACTCCCCATATAATTTTCTTTATCAAACCACAAACAACTTAAGGATTTTGAAGTTTGGGTAAGTTTTATTTCATTTTGTTTCATCAAATTTTTGTTAAGTGCATATTATGTGCAAGGTACTGTGATAATTACTGGGACTACAAAGATAAAAATTTCCATTTATAGACCTGAGCAGCATTGTGAAGTACCTGGATTCCAATACCACCTTTGAGGAATGATATGTTCCTCAATGTGCAACCCCTGGGCAAATGACTAAATATCTCAGCTCCCAGGCAATTTTCTAAAACTGTAAACTGCAAAATGATTGCAGATCTGAATTAGTTGGGAGTTTCCCCACTGGGAGTTCCTTATAACAGGTCAGGACCAAAAGAACAACAGTAAAAGATTCAGCAAGATATTAGCTGGCCTAAATCCTGCCCAGATATTCTAGAATTCAAATCCTACCAATTACAGGTCTTCACCTTAGTGGGATAATCTCTACCTTCTCTTTGGATATAAATAAATTTGGAGGATGAGACACACCCCTGTAGAGGTGGGGCTGAAAACTGCTCTTTGGTAAGTAACATCTTTCTTAGCTAAAGGCTGCCAGGCAATTAAGTTTTTCCTACATCTGGAGATCCCTCAAGTTTCCTTTTTAGGCAGGTATTAATTTCTTTGGGCAGATCAATTCTGAAAGCCTTTGGGCAACTCCCATAGGAAGGTGGTCCACTTATAGAACTTCTTCTGGGACTTTTGGATGATTACTCTTGTTTAACATCTTTAGAAAGCAGCTTATAACAATGTCCTTGTGCGCTATAATGCCATCTTCGTCAATGGATTTTTTTTTAAGAGAAAGAACTTGTTCAAAGCTCTCTAGACTTGTTTTAGGGAACCAAGCTTGTGTAGCATAATGCAGTGTGTGCCACATCTTGCTAACCCCTCAACTCTCTTCAGTTCCTGAAATATAAGGGTCAACTACTTTTCTCTTGGCCATTATACTCGCTAAGGTTATATAGCATAAGGCACCCCTGGTAGAGTTGAATTCAGATATTTCAGAGGAAATTTCTTCCACTTAGAACAGTCTCAGACTTGCCTAAGATACAGATTACTTTTTTCCTTACATATAGAAACATGCCGCAGAATGTAAGCTCTTTGACAGCAAGGATGGTTTGAGAACAAGGTTAGCAAAGTGCCTTGCAAAAAGTAGCTGCCTAAGACATGTTTTGCCATACTAAATTGAATAATAAAACTAATATTATTGCAGTATCTATCAGTTCAGAATTTTAAAAAATAATATAGACATGATTCTGTTGTTTACCTTTAGGCTACAGGGAAAACAATTTCAGGAAGTTGTTTAAACCGTATGAGATCGAACTATCATCAAGCACTTTAAAGGTACTTTTAACATATACACCATTGAGGGGGTGTATAAATCATTCTTATCAGTTCATTTGGACAGTCTCCCAAGGACTTTCTACTTAAAAAAATCTGGACTTCTGATTTTGTTGGCTAACAGAACTCTCAAAGAGAAAATTCAGGGAGAATTTAGGGATAGTAGGAAAAACTTAATTTCCAGGTCTTAATTGCTTTTGGCTAAGAAATACCTCCCTTAGTACAAGATTTCTTCTGAGTACTTTGTAATTTGTAGTTTTAGAGAGTTACCCGGGTCACTTACTTGTCAGACATGGTGCTTCCTGGCTCTAAGGTCAGATCTCTATTCACTACTCTTATGCTGCCAAGAAATACTTAGTCCTATGTAATTGAAAGTAACAAAAGTGCATACTGAATACTTTCTGGAGATATAATTTCCTAGGTGTGGCCATTCCCTCCATGAAAGGAGATGGAAACCTTTCTTATGACTTAGGCAGGTGGTTTTTGGGACTGACTTTGGTCACAAAAGTTCACTCAAGCTATAGTCAAGGGAGAACCTCGATGGATATGACTAGCTTCTTCTTCTAACAACCGTGGCCTATCACTCCCTAGGACACAAAGCCTTTCCAGCTTGGAAGGATTTGCTACAGCCTGTGTCCCCTTGGAATAGCCTCTGAGAAAGAACCTTGGGTCACCTCCACCACAAAATGTGATATCTGAGCAGGCCTTTGGTGGAGGAAGAAAACAAGAAACCTACAAATCTTCTAAAAAATATATATTCCACAATTTATGCCTCTCAACAATTAAGATTAACCTTTTTCTAAATTAATACAAATTAGGGAATTTTTAAAAAATCATTTTTTCATCTTTATGCAAAGAACAAAACACAAACATACTGATTGCTACTGTCATATTTTACAAGCTAAATATAATGGGGTAGTTTAGTAGAGAAAAAGACTGATCCTCCTGGTGACTCAGAAAGTTCTTACTTGAGTTATGAAAGTTCCATATGAAACACAGGTCTGTCTTACCACTTGTGGCCATTAAGGCCTATAATAATGCTAGCATGCCATAAATTAAAGGTAGAAACTAATTAAATGTTTAATCTTGATCTTGTGATTGAAACAGTTATGAACTTTAAGTAGTTTCACTGTTACTCAATATTTGTTTCAAAGTCTATGCAGGCAATTTTACAAACTAGTCATTTGGAGGAATGACTGATTCATGCTATTACTTTTTATGCTGAACTAAAGGATTTAGACATGAAAACCCTGATGTTTAAATAAAACCAAATTGATTAGCATTGAAAATATAATGCAATGATTTTAAAAATCCCTTTTTTGAAAATAAGTATTTCCCAAACTCTGTGGTTTAAATCAGCCACTCCTATGAGATCTTCAGATTGGGAGTACATAGATGGTTATCAGAAAATACAAACTGTTGCCACAATGGGTGGAAGGCTCCTGAAGTGCTGGCTCATTATCCATGTGATGGGACAGTCTAACAAAGCATCAGTTCATTAGGTTTTGCTTTTAAATAGCAATTTAATTTTCAGGTGTCATTATAGCAATTGTGAAACGACATCTATCAGGGTTGAGTTGTTATGGGCCAATTCCACTTCTTTCCTCTATTATCTTTCATTTTTTACCAGCTTCCCCCCCCCCCCTTTCTTTTAAACTGCCGGCTGCTGTCAAATTTCAAAGGCTAGAGTGAACTTTCATGTCCACCATATTAAAACATTATATGGCTTAGCTCTTCGTAAAAGGAGCAGTGAGAATATAGAAGCAAACGAAAAACATTCCTGAATTAAAAAGCCTTTCTAAGTGCAAAATTCCTAAAAGTCTTTTTTTTTTAAGTAGATGAAATTTTCAAGGCAGGATAATTCTTTAGTACTTCGAAGATCTTTCTCTGCATTTTTCCATTGGGTTTATAATTTCCCATCGCTCTCTCGTCCCAGCTGTTGAGGCGGGTACTGCCATCCTACCAAATTGAAGAAACAAATTGGGATCCACTCCCAACGGGGGAGAAACGAGGAAAAGAAAAACCTGTAACAACCTTGAAAAGGTCACATTGACACTCAGGTACACCAGTCACAGGCAGTCTGGGGAAAAGGGCTTCCCTAAAAGCTGGGGTACAGAGGAGGAGGGTCCGACTGCTAGCTACCAAATGACGAGGAGCAGGAGGTCCGCCTGCTTCACCTTACTTCCGCAGGGCCAGTCTCCTCCTCTCCCTCCCTCTCTGGCCAGGTACTCTCCCTTCCCACCTGTCGGGCTCCCGGGTTGATGGAAGCTGCCTCGGTGACTCCCCTAGTGGTGGGAATGGGAACGCTTCCCCCCGGAGCCTCTCTCCATTAACGCTTTTTCCCCACCAGACCCCGAAAGGCTAGAAGCCCTGGGGAGAAGGAAATTCCTCCTCGGTACGCACCCACCCGTGCTTGGCTCGCCCTCCCCTTTTCTCTCTCTCCCTCCCTCCCACATTCCCATAGCTCCCCGGGAGACACCCGGAGCCAGAAGAGTTGGCGGCGACTTTCCGTGCCCCGGACCAGGGGCATGGGGCAGGGTGGGTGAACCGGGGAGAGGGAAGGCGCGCGCCCTGCGCCTACTCCGCGCCTGGGGAAGCCCATCCTGGCGGGGGCGGGAGGGGGTCATCCCGGGGGGAAAAAGCTGCGGCATTCCCCTCTAAGTCAAGTCTGGGTTCGAGAGCCCAAACTGCAGCCGCGGAGGGGGAAAGGGAGGGGAGGGGAGGGGAGGGGAGGGGAGGAGAGGAGAGACTGGGAGACAGAGGCTGGGGAAAGAACAGGGCAACCTCTGTCTCCCTTTGAAAAGGCGGCGGGAGCCCTGGTGAGAAAGCGACAGGGCAGATTGCTAACTCCTTCCACCCCCTCACCTCCGCCTTTTTTTTTTTTTGGAAAGAGACAAAAGTTTCATTTATTTATTTTGCTAGGTGGTGGTGGGCTTAAACCACTCCAGCTACACCCTCAGGAGCGAGGTGGTGTGCATGCATTGCTAATACAGCAGCTGCAGCTCACGTCGCAGTCCCCTCCTCCCAGACCCGGCAGCTCGGGGCAGCTAGTCTCCCCGCGCGCCGCCTTATGGCTACAGTGTAAACCCCCACGGGGTGGGAGGTGCAGCGCCGCCTCTCGTCGCTGCTCGCTCCAGCCTGGGGAAAAAAACCTGCCTCCAGTTGCAACTACCGCTCTTTGCAGCCGGGGCGGTGGGAGCTGGTTTTCCCTACAGGTGAAAAGAGAAAAAGAAAGAAAGGGGAGGCGGTGGGTTAATGGCTCTCTGGGTGCCCATGCCCTTCTGCGCGTAAGCGTCGGGGGAAGCCTCCTGGACTGCTTTGACCCAGCTTGCATTTCCCACCCCCGCAGCAGCTTGCAGAGTTGGAAGTGGAGCGGGCGCCACCAGCAGCGGGGCGATGGACAGCCGAGCCCGGAGCGCCGAGGAACCCCCGGCGGCAGCACCCCAGCCTCCTCCCACCTCCTCCGGGTAAGCCCCGACCGACCCACCAGGCTCAGGGAAGGAGCGCAACTGGGGAAGGGCGAGTTCAGCGAGGCCTAACTAAACCCGTTTACCTGCCTAGCCTAACGACTGCCCTGCCAGCTGTGCCAGGGTGAGTCACTGGCCAGCCAAGGGACCGACCCAGAGAAGACTTTCTTTTTTTCCTTTTCTCGGTCTCTCTGGATTCTGGCCGGTGGTGGTGGTTTTGTAGCTTTTCTTTGTTTTAAACTGGGGCTGCGCTGGTAACTTGAAGCTCGGTTGAATGCCAGGGATTGGGACTGAGGAGTCCGGCGGGTGTAAAGATCAACAAAGGGCCCTTGTCGGGGCTCTGGAGGAACAGCGGGCAATACCTATAAGCGAGCTCCTGGGGAAGAAAAAAGTTTCTTTGGCAGAGCCGAGTGGCTCAGGGAGAAGGGGACCCATGTCAAGGTGACCCAAGGTGGGGGGGGAAGGGGCTTGGAGCGAGCGTTTGGAGGGCTAGGGAATGGCAGCTGTCAGCCCGCTTGACAGCTGGGGATTGATTGGGGGGGACGCAACCTGCTGTTTGTCTCGGGAAAGGTGCAGTGATTTGGGGTTGGAGTGTGGGTAGGTGTGGCGTGCCAACCGGCCTTCTGTGCCAACTAGCTCTTGACGGAGGCTATTCTTTGGGGCTAGAGGAGTACAAAGTCAAACGGAAAATACCTGTAATTTTCTTTGCATCCACGTGTGCTTGGAGAAGCGATGGGAAGGGGATAGACGTCACGTGTTGAGTTAATATTAATGGAAGAATGTTTTCCTACCAGATATGCAAATTGTGACTGTTCTTAGCGTTTGTGTAAACAGACCAGAGAACAGGTAGTTCTACCAGAGATGGCAAGAACTTTAAAATAGCTTAGAGTTTTTAGTAACTACTAAGACAGAGAACACTAGTTGGGCCACTGAAATAGAATACTACCTGTACCTAGTGCGGTGCTTCTTAGAAGTTTTTTTTCCCTTCCTCACCCCACCCCTCACAGTTTGCTGTTGGTTTTTTTGTCTTCTTTCATAACTAGTCTGTTGCACAAATGCCTAAAAGAGAATGAGAACATGGTAAAAATAGGAAAGTTAAGGAAAATTTATAGTATGAGTCTGATGAATGAAAGTTGTAGTCCCCCCCCCCCAATTTAATGGATGCACAAGTCATTTTTTCCCTGGAACATGACAGGAGTTTCCTTAGAAGCAAGTCACAGCATGTTTATTCATCACACTGGCCATGTGAACATTGGCAGTTGAATAGGGGAAACATGGAAAATTCTCAAAACAATATGACTAATCTGAAAGATATTTAGTATGATGCTTACATTGAGGAAATATGTAGTATGTGAATTAATTCTTTCATTTTGCTCCAAATAACTGCCAGATTTCAAACAGTTGCACTTTTCAGTTTATTCCTTTTCTCATCCCATTCTTCTGTTCACTTCAACGTTTAAGTATCTGCTAATATGGAAGGCCCTAGATAGGAGCTTATAAAGATGAACGAGACTTAAGTCCCTGGGCCTTAGGAGTTTACAGTCCAGTTGGGAGATAAAATATAGACAAATAATTATAATACAAGGAAGAATATAAATGCCATAGAAGAAGGAATAGTAACAGCTAGCATCTAATTGTTGTTTTATGGATTTGCAAAAAAAGAAAAATACAAAAACTTCATTTCAGTAATAAAAAAACATTCTACCAGACATTGTTTCTTACCTTTACATCCTGTCCTGTCTTGTCTCCATGCATTTGTGAAGACTATTCCTCATACTTGGAATAGTCTTTCCCCACATCTGTTTGTGGAAATCCTCTTCCTATGGCTTCTTTCCAGAATGATTGTTGAACCTTTGCAATATTTGTTGTCATTGGCATTGCCCCTCTGTCTTCTGCTTCCCACACTCAGTAATACTAATTCAAATCTCTCAAAATTTTGGCTTCATAGTCTGAATTGGAATTATTTGTCTTCTTCCTATTCCCCTAGCTGTAAACTCCTTGAAGTCAGAGACCTGTACCATTTTTTTCATCTTTGTATCTCTTATGTCTAGCACACTTCTTTCAATCTAGTAGGTACTTAAGAAATATTTGCTGTTGAATTATACTAGTTACATATCACTTCACAGTTTACAAAGTACTTTTCATACCATAACAGTTATTGTAGATAATACAAGTATTATTATGTCCATTTTACAGATAAGAGGTCTGAGGCTTAGAAAATTGAAATGATATTCCCAGAATCATACAGCTAGCAGGAATGAAGGAAACAAACATTTATTAAGCACCTACCAAATGCCAGGCACTGTGCTAAGCAGCTTATTTAATAGTTGGGGAAACTGAGGTAGTGATTAAATGACTTGCCCAAGTCTGAGGCTAGTGTAAGTGTCTGAGGCCAGATTTGAGCTCAGTCTTTCCTGACTCCAGGTCCAGTACTTTTCACTGGCCACTTAGCTACCCAGTAAGTAGCATAGTCAAATCTAATGGTCTTTCCAATATACCAGAGGGCCTAGTACATGCTAACTTGTAGGGGAGAGCACAGGAAGGAAAAATTACTTTTATTGTTTAGGGGTTAGCATTTCAGCAGGTACTGTAATGATAAAATTTTGGCAGAAATGAGTCATTCTATATGGTGAGATGATAGAAAATGCATGTTGTCTAGTTTGATTGGAAAATAGGGTCTGGAGATAAAGACTTTAAAAAGTACATTAAGGGTTTCACCAGACTGAGTATAATCATAGAAAAATGATTTGGCATATTATAAATATGTTAAGAGTGTAAGAAACAAAGTAAATAAATTATTCTAGATTAATGAAGAAAATATTAGTTTATAGTCATAATTATGCATAAGAAAGTCTTGCTTATTAGTATCTGGAGTTTAAATTTAAATTCTCCAAAACCTCAATACCTTTATTATCTGAAACCTAACACAGAGCTTAGCATAGTATATTGACTGATTTAATCTACATTGGTGACCTAGAAATGAATTATCATAAATCCTTTTACATATTTGTTCCTATTTTGTTCTTTGCGCAGAGCAAACCCTTTCATGAAGATTAGAGCAAAGGGGATAGATAATAATCCCCTAAATTGTATTTTTGTCAGAATCAGGGCTTTTTTTTTAGCTTTCATTTTGCTAATTAGTATCCTAATGTTGCTCAGGTCCCCTAACTTACTACTTATTGTGGTGCCATTAATTGCTTAGAAGGAAAGCTTATTCCTGAAGTCACCTTCTATACCCTGTTTGTTTCTAATAACTGGTTTTGGATCAGTTTTGCCTTTTTCTTTTTCTTTTTTTTTTGCTTTCTTTGTAAAGAAGATTAAACATTTCTGACATAGGAAGAAATGTATTTCTTCTAGAATTAAGAGCCTCTAATATTTGTTTCTAAATTAGTTTTTCAAAGGAAACTGTAATTACACTTAAGTTACAAAACTGAAAACCCTGGTAGACTTATACTTCTTGTCTTACCTTAAATTAGACAGTAGGACTCCTATCTGTCTAATCAGTGCTTTACTGGTAGTACTGAGGTTTGTAGAGCTTAGATGGGCTTAGAAATCTAGTGATTTGTTAGATGTCACTAATTGAGATGGTGATGAAACCTCTGAAGGAAGGTTGGACAACAACCTAGTCACTCTTTTCAGTGGACAACTGTAGCATACCCCCTCCTTGCTATTTTATTTTATTTAAGAGTGCACTAAGTGTCCAAAGAATACTTTTAGCTCTGTAAGGGCAGCTGTTTAAAATGTTTCTATAGGTAGCCATGGATTTCAATCAGATATCAAGTACTCCTTTAGCCCTTAATATGTGCCAGACATAGTGCTAGGGAATGGGAATCCAGAGACAAAAGTGAAACAGGGTTTAAAATAATTGTTAATTTTTATGTGGAGTTTAGAGTCTTTGGGGATTTAAATTAACTTAGTGGATTTTTAAAAAAGTTTATATTCATCAATTAAAATTTTCTGTAAAGTAAAACATGTACCACATATGACAGTGCATAACCAATTACTTTGGACTTAGTGTCATGACATTAAGATCTTATTTGTAATATGCTTTTTCAAAAAAGTAGGAATTTGGGTTACTAGAGAGTATTGAATTAAATTGTTAATGTAATTCCCACAGACTTCCTACTTGTAAAATGAGGTTGTAGGAGGAATTGTGCAATCCATAAAGCATAACATTTGAATTAGTTATTTCCTCTGAATGAGTTATGGAGTAATTGAATAACAGTGTTATGACTTTTCTTAGGTTTGTAGCACCAGGTGTGTTTGATAATGCTATTTCCTGTGTTGATCTGGAAAACATCCCCATGTAAGTAAAATGTTTTATTTAGATAGTCAACAGAATCTGTTGACCCCTGTTGTAGGCTGAATAGTCTCTACTGAGTCCTGTGGATACCTATATGTTCTTTGCTCTCAGAAGGAAAATAGGGTATGTCAAAAAAGGGTAAATGAATAACAGTCAAGAGAAGAGAGAGGCTTTGAAGAATGCTCAATATTGCACATATTCTTAAAGTACACATGTGCCTTGCTTGAGTAAGATATGGTCAGACTTATAAACTATATTGTGTAGTGATGAATGAATGAATGAAAAAACATTTATTTAGTGTTCACTATGTGCTAAATGCTGAGGAGACAGAATAGAGGCAACTTCTGCTCTCAAGGAGCTCATATTCTGATAGGAAAAGAGAATACATATAGGTTTCACCTGTAGGACAGATGATTTTTAGCAAGGCAGTTCAGAATGCATCTTTTTTAGTGTCATTTTCCATTGATTAAAAACATTTCTGATGTTCAACCATTTGGTGGTAAGAACTTTTCTTTTTGAGGTCTTCAGCTGTGGTTGCTAAGAAGGGAGGGGATGCAGAACCTGTAACGACAGTTTGCCAAGGTAGGATCTCTATAGGAGTTGCTTTACAAAATGATTTATTGTTGAGGTTTTTTTAAATGCTGAGTTCTTGGATTTTAAAATGGATTAAAAATAATATTTGATTAAAAGAAAGATTTATACACATGTTCAAGAGGACATCAATTGCATAAAGCAAGGTATACCTGTATGTGGAAGTCTTTAGGGAAAGATAACCTCTAATCCAGCAAACTGAGTTGCTAAGAGTCAATTCTACTTAGTGTCAGGGGATAGACTAGCTGACCTTTCAAGGACAATGGTATGCCAGGATATACTGCATACATACATTGAAAATTTTAAGTAATTTTGTGCTGTTTTTATGAGCTCTAGAAAGTAGCCAAAGATGTATTTTCATTGTTGCTATTGGACTTTGCTATGATTTTTTTAAATGGAATTTTTTCCCCATCTGTTATACTAATAACAAACTCCCAGGGTGGGAGAGAAAAGTTTCCCATGATTATTTCCCAAGGGTCAGATGTCTACAGTCTTATATAAGGACTTCAGCTTATCTAAGGAAAATTAATCCCTTGATAGACTACCAAAGATGAATATGGTTGTTTTGGTAACATTAGAAAAATGCAGGGTGAGTTTGATTGCTTTCTGTTTCACTCAGAGTAAATGCATGGTGCTACGTTTTGTAAATTCTAAAGCCGGATGAACAAAATACTTACTGTTTTCTAGACAAGAATGTGCTATGTAGCTGAATTGTTTTTCTTTTGACACAGAACAGCAAGCATGTAATTTTTGTTACTGTAAAACAAATGGAAAATTAATTTAAAAGTACTATTAGAGCTAAAGAGATTTTTAAAAAGTAGAATTAGAATCTTTAACAATTAGGGGCAAAAGGATTAGTTCATCAACAATCATTTATTAAACACTTGTTATGGGCCAGGCATTATACTAGGGGGTGGAGATATGAACACAAAAAACAAAGATATTTTTATAATGCCAAACAGCATTACTTAACTTTATAGGTATAGATCATCACATTTCATTGTCTGCTATGGACAAGTTAATGTACTAGGTGATGTAAACTATATGTTTGCCAATTCTCACTTGACCGATTCTGTGACCTTAGTTAAAGGTTTAGAGAGGTGTAGGCCAAGAACTTAGTACCTTATTGAGTTTGGAGTGATTGATACTTAGTTTCTTAACTTTCTGTTCATCAGTACTAAAGTAGGTTCTCTTAGCCCATTTTATTAATCCCTAGCTCCCAGTCTGAGCCTCTGAATTTAACATTTAAGGAAGTATTTATTACACACCAATTCTTTACATTCTGGATGAAATTGAAACTTTGTTTCTTTATGTCAGGAATAATGCCTAGTTTTTACATAGAGCTTTAAGATTTGCAGAGCACTTCATGCATCTTATTTGGTCCACGCAGCAGCTCTGTAAGAAGATAGGTGCTCTTATTATCTGTTTTCAGATGAGGAAACTGAGGCTGAGAGACTTGGGTGTCTTGCTCAGGATCACATAGGTAGTAAGTGTCTGCATCAGGATTTGAACTCAGATCTTCCTGACCCTGAGTCTGGCCCTCTATCCACTGCACTAACCAGCTGCATAGAATGGTTCTATGTTTAGTCTAGCCACTAAAATATTCATTTTGCGTGAAACCACTGTATGAATAAGGAGATCACTGGTGGTGTTGTGTGGACATTATGGTGTAAATAAAAGGCCCTTTTTGTACATTACAAACTGGATATACCCCACTTATAGTTTGATCTCCTCCTTTTTGCCCTTCCTTCTATCCTCTTCGTACTGCTGGTTCTGAAGAAATTAGAAACTAAATGAAAGCAAGGCAAGGAATGGTAGTGGCAGCAGCAGTTTAAGCCACCATTATTCCTACTATTTATTGTTGCAGGCAGGTGGGTTGAAAAAGCAGTCCATTTATTAGCTGAAATAAAAGTGGTGGTTATTGCCCCCAAGTCCTTATTCTGTATGTAGGTATTCTTTTTTTTTTTTTTTGGCTAGGCAGTGGGGTTAAGTGACTTTCCCAGGGACACCCAGCAAGTAAGTGTTATGTGTCTGGGGTGGGGTTTGAACTCAGGTCCTCCTGGATCCAGGGCCTGGGTTCTATCCACTGTGCCACCTAGCTACCCCTATGTAGGTATTCTTCAGCAGCAGATGGCAAGGTTATGACTTCTGGCTCATCTGGCTCAAAATTGGACATCTAAGACCCTCTGAATTTCACTCTTCTCATATGTAGCTTAGAGAGAAGATGAAGCCCCATGTACAGCATCCTTCTGCCATATCATGGGAGTGTTCTGTCTTTCTTTCTTGAGCTCTCTCCTTCCATCCCCCACTACAACTTCATTTTCTGCAAGATACTTGTAGGGCCTTTCAAAGGGCCTTGGGCTATTTCCTCCCTTCATGCCTGTTTGGCCTGCTTGCCTCGGAACTCCTGGGGCTCAGCCCTGCCTGGCATTTCCGACTGGCTCTCTGCATGTTTCCTGGGCCAAGGCACTCAAGGAAGTTAGGTGCCACCAGTTGCCAGTCCTTCCTTTGTTTCTTGGATTGGCGTTTTTTATTCTCCATCTTTCCTGGAATTGTCATTTAACCTTTACCTTGTTGAGTGTATGTGGGCAGGGCCACTACATACTCAGTACCCCTCTTGGCTGAAAAACAACTTCTTCCCTCCATCCCAAGCCCAGCTCTGATTATTCTACTCCCTTCCCTCCTTCGTGGCACTGTATGCCTGTGCTTATTGGCATGTTTTTATCCGTTTTGATACATATGCAGAATTTTCTCTTTTTAAAAAATGGTCCCTTCCTAGGAATAAGTTGAATACTTTTAGTTAGGAAAAAAAAAATAATTTGCTTACTCCCATTAAAGCCAGCCTTAGAAAGATTCTATAGACAGCTGTTATTTCAGATGGAAAGAAACTGGCCTCACATGAATCACTTTCCCTTCTGTGTCTATTTTCCCTTCTGCTGCTTTAGTCAGGGAGAAAGTAAACTTGTTTCCTATCCTCTTTTATTCAGAGGTTATAACCTATACTGAAAAGAGTACTAAACTTGAAATCAGAGGGCCGGAGTTTAAATTCAGGCTAGTATGTGTTTACTAATCCATAAAATTATTGGGATTGAACTACATAATCTCTAAGACCACATCTCAATCAAGGATGCTCAATTTAATCTTTTATACCAGTCCCATCTTTGTCTTTTCTTTTTTCTTTTTTTTTTTTTAGGCAACTGGGGCTAAGTGACTTGCCCAGGGTCACACAGCTAGTAAGTGTCAAGTGTTTGGTCTGAGGCCGGATTTGAACTCAGGTCCTCCTGACTTTGGGGCCAGTGCTCTATCCACTGAGCAACCTAGCTGCCCCTTCAGTCCCATCTTTATGCTGTCAGTATCTTAGCTGGGAGTCTGTGATAGAGTAGAAAAGAACACTAATCTCATGGTAAAAAAGACTTGAATTTTGATTGTTGGCTAAGACTCTTACTTTAGGTATGAGTCTGAGTATGTTGCTTAACTTCTCTCGACGTCATTTGCCCCATCTTTAAAAGTGGGAAGAATTTGGAATCAGATAATTTAGATTAAAATTCTCTCTGCTATTTACTATATAGCCTTGGACAGGTCACTTTACTCCTCTGAGGTTATCTGTGAAATAAGGATTGGATTAGGTGAGCACTATGGCCCCTTCCAGTTTTAATTAGTGAACCTATGTTGGCACTTGTTGTGACAAAGGTAGGCATTCAGTCATAAATCTTATCATTAGAGAAATGTGAGTTGCCTTTTTAAAAAAAGTTCTATAATATAAAATCAGTTGTCATGTATTTATGATTATAAATGGTGTGCGTTTGTGTGTGTGTGTGTGTTATTCTTGTGTTATGTCTTTCCATCTTGGAAAAACAGGTATGATTTTTTTTTCTGGTATGAATAGTATTTAACATATTTGAACAGAATTGAGAACGTTTATCAGATTAGTGGTTTTCTGGAAAATTTTCCACTCTGATAAATTGGTATAAAGTGCCAATCTGATCTGTAATCTATTTCAAGTTACTACAAAGCTTCATCAAAGTGTGATTTGATCCAAACAAAGTGGAACAGATGTTCAGCAGTACAGTCATGGTTAGAATTGTATTGTAATTAGACAAAACTTTATTTAGCATATAAAATAATCCAGCTTCTGTATTAAAAGGATGGAAGATCAATCTTGCTTGGTGCTGAATAAAACCATTCAGAACTCTTATTTCTAATTAAATCTGTGCTGAAATTTGGCAGTTCTGAATTTACATTAAGTAAACAAGAAAATTAAGTACCTGCTATATGCAGACATTGTACTAAGGGCTGGAGATACAAAGAAAAAAACCAACCCAATCCAACTCAAAACAGTCTCTGCTCTTAAGTAGTTTACAGCCTAATGGAGAAGGCAACTTGCACATAACCATGTACAAAAAGATGTAGAT